TGGAAACATGGAAGAAGACCTGCCATCAGGCATTGTAGAGGGCCAGGAGAAGCTAGGCAGGGTCTAATCCTATTGCAATGCAGAAAAACTAGGGAGAAAGAGGAGACAAGTGGCGGTACAACAGCAGCATATGCTTTATCAAGGACAGGACTTACCTGCGCTTGAACGTTAATTCAGATTCAGGCAGGGTATGAGTTTAAAGCATAACCATTATTATTCCTGAATACCTTCTTGTCTGAATGCTTCAATAGGCTTTCTGGAATAGCCATTTAGAAATAACCCTGCAGGTAGTCCAGCTGTAACGAGACTTAACTATATTCGTTCTTTATGCCAGGACGTCTCCACTCTTTTAGCCTCAAAAATTCTTCATAGGAAATTCTAATGAAATGGGTGTACTAAGTGCAAAGCCCTTTACCACAGTAAGGTGGTCATGGTCAAATAATGTATAATGCCATGTGCTGAAAGGACTTCCTGTAATTTTTTAGTTGTCCAAGATATCATCTCCCCAGAAGGCCAGTACATTAATCTCTGTGCTCCATGTGCAGCGGAACAGAGCGATATTTAGTTACGCATTTACAGTAAGTATTACAAAATAGATTGGGAAACATGATAGATTATTCCTGTTGAAAGTGCTCTTGTTTAGGCAACTAGGTAAGCAAGAACAGTGAGGCTTTCAAAACTGTCAAAGCCCAGCCACAAGGTGGCACTCTTTTCAAAACTGTCAAAGCCCAGCCACAAGGTGACTCTCTTTCCGTCTAAACCAGCGGTTTTCAAACTTTTTGAGCTGAGCCCCTCTTTGAGCTACAATTTTGTTGGCACCCCCCCAACCCAGACAAAAACAGACATGCAAAATATGCTTTCATAAACTTTACTCTTCGTATCGAATTTAGCCATTTCAGCTTCTGCCTTTCCTTTCGAAACAATATCTTTTGGCAATAAGTACTGATCCATTTTCATCTTGTAACAGTATGCAAAATATCAAACTCACCAGCAGAATAAGCTGCACTTAGGGTGACCACCTTTTCAAAAGGGGAAGGCAGGACACATGCACACCTCCTCACTCCTCTGCCACTGCTGCCAAGTGGAGCAGGGGCGGCTGCAGACTGTGGGCTGGCTGCTGCAGGCTCAGGGCTCCCCACCCTGCTGTCTTTCCCTCGGGAGCCCCACACTGGCCATTCGCCCCCTGCCTGCCTGGCAGCAGCAGGGGGCACAACTTCATGCTGCCACTGTGTGGGGCTCCCAGGGAGAGGGCAGCAGGGCTAGGAGCTCTGAGCCCACATCCAACCCTGCCCTGCACACAAATCTGGGGGGGCACATATCCCCCCCCCAAACAAGCTACCTGCAGCTTCATCCCACTCCATGCCCTGGCCGGGCAGCGTCCCAAGCCCTGCCCCACTCTCTCCCTCGCCATGGGGGCCTTGATCTGCCCTCCCTTTTCCCTCCACCATACTCTTACCTGGAGGGAGCTGTTCTCCACACTGCCCAGCTATTTTTCCCAGCCATGTGCATGTGTGCGGATGCATACATGCACACGACATCCCGTGTCAGCTCCCAGCAGCCCCTTGCAGGCTGGCAGCGTTCCAGCCTGCAAGAGGAAACCCGCCATTTCCTGATCCATGTAGACCATGGTGCCACCCCAAAATGTTCCTTCGTGCACCCCCAGGGGGGCACACCCCGCAATTTGAAAACCGCTGCTCTAAACTGTATGCTGGCTGAATTCAGGCTGACAGGTTATGAAACATCCAAAAGATCATGGCTACGTACTCAAACACTTAGAACCCTCAATTCCCTTTAAAGCTGTATAGTACTTCACAGAGGAGGCCACTTCAGTAAAAACAATTGGTAGCATATACCTTAAGGGAGCATACTTTATTCACCTTCAATTCATGCAAACAGTTCTTGAAGAGCACTGATGCTCCAGATGTGTGACTGATGGTCATTTGCCTGGGGAACTTACACCAAACTCTATACAAATTAGAAGTGAAAAGGGAAGTCGACTCTCCTTCAGAATCCTGCTGGGACCCAGTAGATCCTCATCAAAGCCCAGTTCAAAGGGGTTTTCTACGTCTGAAACAAGGTGGCATTTTATGCAATACCACTGTTACAGTTATCCTGGCTCTTTGCTGACTGCACTGTGGAGCAAGCTTGACAACCAGGGATCCTGGTTTTCTCCAATTTAAAAAAAATCCCCAATTTTCAGTTAAAAAAAATAGTAACCTCAAATCCACATTTTTCTGTGAGTTAAATAAAACACCACTAATATATAGATATACGTATATATAGATATCTAGATAGATAGATACATAATTTCATTTTAATCATGGAACAATGTGGATTTGGGATTAATTTTTCTTTTAACCAAAAATTAGGGATTTTTTTTTTTAAATCGGAGAAAACCAGGATCCCTGTTGATCACTTTCCTGTAGCTTACGAGATTGGAGTGAAATCACTCCGGAATGGTTGCACCTGGCTCCATTTTTCATTTGAATTTGCCTGCATAGATGGGACACTGGATGTTTCAGCCAGATTGAACAGCACCAGTGTACAGATGCCTTTCCTCATTTCAAATGCAAAGCTCCCATGGATGCTATGGACCATAATTGGCAATGCCTTCCAAAAGCAGGGTTTCATTCAGTGAAGACCATATAAAAATGCTCTTAATATCCCCATTATATTCCATGGAGAATCCATGCTGTCCTGCAAAGGGGGTGACTCTAATGAGAACCATTACCCTAGTCTCCCAAACGAAAATGCCACTAATCTCCCAAACCAGAATGCCAACTCTAATGTATATTTGCAGAAAGTCCACTGAGCCAGGGCTCCCCACTGTCTGCATCTCAACCCAGTATTTCCTGCAGAATTGGAAGGGGAAATTGGGTTGGTCTCCGAGGTATACAAATCACATTTATGAACCCTATTACGTGTTATCCATGACCTTATTTTTTTCATCTTATTAAGAAAACAAAACAACACAATAAGAGTTATGTTCTCGTGAACAGAAAACTTAAGCACATTACCATGTATCACTCTCCTCTCCTCTTAACAAGTCTGAAAATAATCAATTTAGGGATATGTAAAAATGTCAACTAGTCACAAAAAGGGAGCTGTCCTCTTCCCACTTTCCCCTAATTTTTGTAGAGAAACTACAAGAAGTCCCAGTTCCCAGTGGTGTCTTTTTTCCTGAATATAAGTCCCACTTAGTATAAACTATCCAAAAGCTGTTTGATATCTGTTAAAATCCCTTTAGTCTGAAAATAATAAACTTAGGTTATTTGCTGGAAGATTTTCTGATACTATTAATTTACATCTTGCAATTTGACTAAAATAATGCTACAGAAATTGAAAGAAAAACTCTATAATCTCAGCTGCTGAGATCAATTTTAATACAAATCTTTTTTTTTTTTTTTTAAACTAGCATACAGCTGGAATGCTTGATACGAGTCAACTGCCCTATTGTCCAAATCATCCAGTTGCCTTAAGTTATTCAGTGTCTAGACTTTGGCCCATTTCATCACATAGCCGGAACACTTGGTTTGAGTCGACTGCCCTATTGGCCAAATTATCTAGTTGCCTTAAGTCAGGGTTTTTAACCTTTTTGGATCATTGTACCCCCAGTTGCCGAGTGGTGGGGTGAGGGGTGGGGTGGGGTGAGGCTGGATGTGGAGTGGCAGTGCCTGCTTGGCAGCATGGGACAGTGTGTGGTGGTGCTCCGTCCCTGCCTGCCCACATGTACCCCCTAGGGCCTTCTCAAGTACCCCCAGGGGTATATGTAGCCCTGGTTGACAACCCCTGCCTGAAGTTATTCAGTGTCTAGACTTTGGCCCATTTCAATGTCTACACCCAATATTTAGCTCCCCAAATCTTATGGTTAACAGGGACTTCAAATGTCATCTGTCATTAGGAGCTGCTATTCCTAAACCACCCTAGACAGCAGTCTATGAAGCCTCTACATTAAAAACTTACAATGAAAGGGATTCCACAAATTTCTTGGGAAGCTTTTACCATTGTTCTACTGTTTTAGCAATTAGGACATTTTTCCTGAGATCTGCTCCAAACCTGTTTGTTGCTGTTCTAACCCATGGCCTTGCATCCAATCTTTTATGACAAAGGAGAACATTTTTCCCACTTTTCTAGAGCAGCCTTTCAAATATTTGAAATCTGCTATCATGACATTCTTCTCTCCCCCCTTTAATGTCCATTCTTCTAAACTGAACATGGCCAGTTTCTTTACCCATTCCTCCTATGGCTTGTTATAGAAACTATAGGTTTTTTATATCTTTCTAAAAATGCTGTGCCCCAAATGGGACCCAGAATTCCAGCTGAGGCCAAAACTGGAGATGATAGTCCTATTTTGCAGTGCAGTGTTTAATATACATATAGAAGCACTGAAAGTTTTGACCCGTGTTGGTGGCGTCTTACAAATAAAAGGAGCAGAAAGGAACTTCCCATTAGCATTAGCAGCAACATCATGCATCAGTCTTTCTTGTGAAGAATCATACAGCAACTATAACTCTGGGCAGGATTCCCAAATCAGAAAGATGCTACTAGTATAATCATGCTTTTTACTTCATATTTGTAACCTCTTATTGTCACAGATCTATAGACGGAGAGGGAAAAAAATCAACTATCGCATCCTGTGGCCTGCTTGACACAAGATAAATAGTTAATATTATCTTGAAGTTGACAGATTCCCATAGCTGGAAAGACCATCTTCAGTAGCCATGTGTGTGTTATAACAAATAGAATTAAAAAAAAAAAATCTCTCTCTCTCAGTACTACATGCTCAAGTGCAAATGAATAAATTAGGTTAGATGACAACTCAAATTTGGGCATCAAAGGAGACCAGAAATCATGGTAGTGCAGTTCTTCTTCCCCTGTCTGATCTAATAATGTTCCCTCCCAATTTTTTAAAAAGGAGCAGGTTTCTTACAGAAATGTAACCTGTATGCCAGCAAGTCTGTCATAGGCAGCTGAACACCAAACCACTCCACAAACCAAAATACTCTTGTTCTCCAGTTTATTTTAATTTTACTTCAGGTCATTACAGTAGATTGCCCATACCAGAAGCTTTGATTCCATGGGACCTTCCACATGTAGAGGATGTTCTTCAATACCTCCGATAGCAGTATTGTGAAAAAGATTAACTTGAAGAGTTGCACTGAAAGGATTTATTGCCAATATTTAGAGACAGATTTTACTGTTCAAAAAATGTTGCATTAGAAACAATGTCTGTTGCACACATTATGTTAAATATATTTGCATATATTAATACCACTATCAAAACATGTGACAGAACTGAATAGAAAAAAAGTCAACTGCCACAACATGAAGTTGGACAACTACAAGCAAAAGATATTTGTCCTTCCCAACTCTTCAACATCAATTTAACTAATAAAAAGTTCTCCATTTCAGTAAGAATTGGAAAGATTTTCAGAGAATCAAATATAAAGGATGTCAGAATTCATTTACAGCTTCTTAAATATGGATTGTTACAAAAAAAACCCCCAAAAAACAAAAAAATTGTTACGTTCCTTCAGTTTACAACTAGACTTTGCTTCTTTCAGGTTAACTCTAGGTACCAGGGGTTATTTCCTCAAATAAGTAATATGCACTTTCAGGTTAGAACATGGGTCCCATTACTAAGACTAGACTGGAACCATAATAAGCAAATAACCTGAAGTGGCCAATGTAGAATGTGTGCTTGCAAATCAGCAAGTCACTGTTGAAGTCTGGTATAAATTCTAAATGATAAAATATAGTCAGGAAATACTACATTAAATGGCTTTTTAATGTTTAATTTGTTCTGCATATGTATGCCACCTACGTATCTGTGGTTATTATCTTCCAAGTTCATGTTGGTTTAGCAAGTTTAACACATTGTGTGAAATCGTCCTGTGCCTTTAGTTTCATAGCTGGTTACAGTTCTCTCTTAAAAATATTCTACACAGGATTTGGAGGAGGAACTTCATTTATAGAAAATAAAAATTGAGGCGCAGCAAACTGATGCATGATTTATATTGCTAAGGAGTATTTTTTTAAAAAGCTGTAAGTTAGTGGAAGGATGGTGTGTCATGTTGGTAAAATTTTGTATTTGTGATAAATATTACAATGGATAAAAACAATGCAGCAATCTGCATCACAACAACTGTAGATGGCAACGCTTTTCCTTTGCTGTAATTCAAGATGAGCAGATTCCCTGGTTTTTTGTTCAAATTTAGAAAATTTACTTCTTCTTTTCCATCCTAGCAGGGAGCAAAAAAGAAAAGAAAAAAAAAATCAATGCAAGGTTAATTACTCAATTATAATTGATTAAAGCTTGGGCTTACAGTGGAAATTGCAACTTGGATATGGCCCCAAATAGGGTGATCAGTCTGACCCCAAGTGGAGATGCAAGCCAGGAACCTCTGGCTTTAAGTCTCAGCAGGAGCAGTGGCACACCCCAATCAAAATCCGCACTGGCTACAGCCAACACCCAATGACTCCCAGGAAAGCTTAAATCCTGACACGTGCAGCGGCAAGAGGAGAAAAAGTTCCCTCCTGGCTTTATGAGGCAACCAGCATAGACCAAAAGCTTGGGAAATACACATAATAGGATATAGGCATCCATACAATAGGGATACCCATACCCACAGTCGGCCCAAAATCATCCCTGACCAGTGGCTGTCCAACCAGGTCCCGGTGGACTGGAAAAGGGCCAATGTGGTCCCCATTTTCAAGAAGGGGAGGAAGGAGGACCCAGGCAACTATAGGCCAGTCAGTCTCACCTCCATCCTAGGCAGTCTTCGAAAAAATTATCAAGGCTCACATTTGCAAGAGCCCAGGACAAATTATGCTGAGCGGAAACCAGCATGGGTTCGTAGCAGGTAGATCATGCCTGACTAATCTAGTCTCTTTTTATGACCAGGTTACAAAATGCCTGGACGCAGGAGTAGGGGTTGATGTCGTATACTTAGACTTCAGGAAGGCCTTCGATACGGTATCCCACACCATACTGGTAAACAAGTTAAGAGGCTGTGACTTGGATGACTACACAGTCTGGTGGGTGGTGAATTGGCTAGAGGGTTGCACCCAGAGAGTCGTAGCGGATGGGTTGGTATCGACCTGGAAGGGTGTGGGCAGTGGGGTCCCACAGGGCTCGGTCCTTGAACCGATACTCTTCAACGTCTTCATCAGCGACTTGGACGAGGGAGTGAAGTGTACTCTGTCCAAGTTTGCAGATGACACAAAACTGTGGGGAGAAGTGGACACGCCGGAGGGCAGGGAACAACTACAAGCAGACCTGGACAGGTTGGACATATGGGCGGAAAACAACAGAATGCAATTCAACAAG